TGTCGGTCATTCAGGGCCCCCTGAGTATGGGGGCCTGGGCACGGATCCCGAGTTATGGAAAAGCCGGTACTGAGTACATTGGCGTGAAACAACGCTTGCATTGTGTAAAGCCGTGTGTGTGAGGTTACCAGAGGTCCACTTGTGACTCCTTCAGTGTTGCGAGTGTCCATGGGCGGCGCTGATTGCTTACCATCAGGTGATCCGTGTTATTAGCCTTCAAATCAACGTTGATACAAACAAATGTTTTAGCTGATTGTATTACTAGCTTTTACCCGCGGCTTCGCTCGCGTCGCAAAAGGATAAAAAGTAGCCTATGTGACATATACTAATACATACAGCGCCATCTATACCAATACTTTTGTTTTCCCTCGGGAATATCAAATTTTACCGGGATAAAAAGTACCCTATCATTTAATCCGGACTTATAACTTTACGTCTGCAAAAATTTAAAGCAATCGGTTTAGTAGTTACGGCGTGAAAGCGGAACAAAGAAAGAAAAGAAAGAAAGAAAAACCATATTTTGCTACGACACACAACAAGAATTTAGAAACACAAAAAAAGGCTACGGTGCGTCGCAGCGCAAAAGGCTGGAGCTCAGCTTAATACCGTGGACCGGGCACAGAGGCTCGAGCCCACGGCGCTGATTTTCAGCACCAGCCCGTTATAGTACGTACTAGTTATACACCTACGGTTTTTTTTAAGGGGGGAAAATCATCGAATGACTGCTCCCGCCTGGGTGAGGCGAGAGGGAGTGTCAGACTCTTACTGACTAAAAACCACCGCGTTCCTTCTCCTGCACGTTGAGCCGGAGCCCCGGTTACCCGTTAGGTTCTCCGCGACATACACCTACGGTAACGCTGTTCGGAGTACAGCATGTTGTATATAATAAAATTAATATAAAAATGAAAACAAACAAACTCACTTTCCGATTTATAATATTAGTAAGGATTTGATAGCTGGTTCGTTGCCTACTTGTGTTGTAGGTACCATGGTCGGTTTTTAATGGTATCCTTGTCTGTATTGTGAATTTAAAACAACTTGTTTAGAAGCGAGGTTAAGTGACGGTTGCGGATATGACAGGCGCTTGAACCTCCTCCTCCTCTTATAATATCTTCTGATTCACTTCGTTGCGGGAACCAAGACAGTTACTCATGTACCTGGGACGCGCCGGACTTCAGTGTTCTGGTGTTTTCATGGATGTATCTACTGTAGATCCTGGCTAACAGGAGTTGCAGCGGTTTTGGGAGGTTGTGGCGGGCTTGTCCCATTAAAAAAAAAGGCGTTTGAACCTGTAGATAATATAATGTTAAATTGGTCGAGTTCTAGATGTGTATCTCAGGTTACCGGGGCTCCTGCTTCAAGTGCAGGAGTAGGAACGAAGTGGTGTTTAGTAAGATATATAAGATATAGTCTGATCCTCTCGTCTCATCCAAGGCCATTGAATGATTTTCCTCCTTCAAAAAAGATATCTAAGACTGCCTCGTTGGCCGAGTGGTCTGCCAGGCAAGGGGTTTCGGATTCGATTTTCGGGTCGGGCAAAGTATTACTGGAGTTTTAAAATTCTCAGTGGTAGCACGGAGTCTGGAATTGTAACCTGTAAATAGCAAAAGGCTACCCCTTATTTCATGGGCCTGTACAGTGGCATAATGTACACTTCTGCCTACCCCTTCGGGGATAGAAGGAGTAATGTTATGATGTTGAATGAGTCTCACACGACTTGGAGTCTAGGTGGAAATATGTCGCTTGATAGTCCGGTGAGACGATATTAAATTTTATTGATACACTGAACTAACACGTCGCCTATATTATCAACTAAATTAGTGATTGATGAGTACTGATGATGTGAGTGCTGAACGTGTACTGAATACAAAGTAATTGCTAACTATAATTTTACGCAATGACTTCTTTCGCGTGGAATTGTGATTCACAGTTCCTCGCCCGTAGATGATAGCGTGATAATATGTAGCCTATATGTTGACCTGACCTGTTAGTAATATTCATGCAAAATTTGTAGTAAATCCATGCATCACTTTTTGAGATCATCCCGGACATACATACAGACAAACATTCTAAAAACCATATTTTCGGCTTCGGTATCGATCACAGAATATATATCTCCTTCAAAAAAGGTATCTACGACTGCCTCGTAGGCCGAGTGGTCGCAAGTGCGACGTCCAGGCAAGGGGTCTCGGGTTCGATTAATTCCCGGGTCGGGCAAAGTATTACTAGGCTTTTTAAAAAAATCTCAATATTAGAAAGGAGTCTGGTGTTGTGCCCGGTATATGGCAATAGGTTCACCCCCTATAACACGGGACTCATAACATAAATAGTGAAAAGTGGGTGTTACATTGTACAGTGGCATTAAGTGCCGTAATGTGCACCTCTGTCTCTTTTGGGGATAAAAGGTGTGTGTGATGTTATGTTATGCAAAAAGATTTTAGAAAAATGTTTTAGGTAGGTACTTGATCTATAATACCTTATTTTTCGCTGATTTTCTACTTAATCCCTAAGGTTGACTGGTAGAGAATGCCATATGGCATTAAGTTCGCCTTATGTGCCATAATCAAATTGTGTACATAAAAGAATAAATAAATAAATATATAATAATTAATATTCAGATTCAATTCAATTACTGGTTTTATTTTCGGTATTTTAAAATACGTGCATGGGGCTGTGTCATTAATCAAGTGGTCGACTTTACAGCTAATAGTTTAGGATTCGATTCTCCCGCGTCGTACACGATACTTCGTCTTCGTCTTCGCCCGCTTCTCATGCACGAGGACGCTAGTTCGAAACCTACCAACGGCAAGTACCAATGTAGCAAGTGGTTTGGGATTGGATTCCGGGGTCGGCCAAAATATTATTGGAGGACTTATACCTAGTGCTTTTGAGAAATCAATATCAATACATAGTATAAAACAAAGTCGCTTTCGCTGTATGTCCGTATGTATGCTTAGATCTTTAAAACTACGCAACGGATTTTGATGCGGTTTTTTTTAATAGATAGAGTGATTCTTAAGGAAGGTTTGTATGTATAATACATGCATATTGCACCCGTGCGAAGCCGGGGCGGGTCGCTAGTTCTTAATAAAATGGATGTGCAAACCTCTGGTGAGTACCTTCGGCGTGACGAAACTGACGAAGACCATTTGAAATATTGATGAAATCGGAAACACAGTAAATCTTTATAGGTAGTAGATACTTAAATTAAAACCACTATTGAGCAAACTATAACTGTAACGGAAAACTGAATAGGTACGTACCTACATACCGTTTTTTTAAGCGGGGAAAATCATCGAATGTCTTCTCCCGCTTAGGGTGCTTACTCTTGAAACCAATCTCAAAGTCAATGCTATGTCCATCCAATAAAATCTCAATAATTATTCAATGTCAACACTGTACAACCACAATCGTAGCCACAGAAATACTAAAATTATATCTGTGATCGTAGCTGTTACAATAGCATTCAGAGTACGGAATATAAAGCCAAACTCAATACCATTTAGTTCATTCAATATCCATGCAATACGGATGCAATGGAAAACCAATGTCGATCGATCGGAATTGGATTCAAGAGTAAGCCCCCAGGTGAGGCAAGAGGGAATGTCACACTGACTAAAAACCAGCCCGTTCCTACTCCTGCAATTCGAGCTGGAGCCCCGGCAACACGTTAAGCCCTCCGCGGCTCCGTATCGGTATCAGCCCTACTGGGCAACATCTGTGGTGGTCTGATGACACAGATACGTATATACCTAGGTACTAAAATTACGACTGCCTCGTTAGCCGAGTGCTTGCCAGTCCGACTGCCGGGTAAGGGGTCTAGGATTCGATTCCCGGGTCGGGCAAAGTATTACTGGGTTTCTTTAATAAAAAATCTTAGTAACTAGCCCGGTATATGACAAGGTTTACCCCCTATTACATAGGACTCATAACATTAATAGTGAAATGTGGGTGTTACATTGTACAGTGGCATTAAGTGCCGTAATGTGTACCTCTACATACCCCTTCGGAGAAAAAAGGCGTGTGAAATAAAATTACGATTAACTAAAAATGACAAGTTACTCACGCTGGTAAATATACTGAGAAAAGTTCTACTAAATGCTGGTCAGAAGGCTACGCGACATCGCCGCGACTGCGCACGCTGCTCATGAGGAAGAGCCCCTCTGTGGCTCGAAACCAATAGAGCTTTTCTCAGTATATTCATGTGAGCAACTCGACATTTTTAGTTTTTTTTAATTAATTTTTAATTTTAGGGACTATTTTGCGGTATAAAACCGCACAGCGTATGTCAGTCCCATCGTAGCCTAATTAGTGTATATAAATCAACTAGAGATTAATGAATCAGAGCCCTGAAGGTGAATAACATTCTCGCATTATCAGTACTCGGCTCGTGTAATATTTTTATGGAATTTACCTACCTATATCGTTCTTGTTCAACTTCAAGTCCCTGAGCAACGTATTCGTCTCATAACATTTATAGTTAATACAGTGTGTCTCACGATAGTTAAATTATAAAAAATACACTTTTCTATGATCCATAAACCTCGTTTATCGTGCAGTTGCAGTCGCTTCGCAAAAGTGCGACTGCCGAGCATTGGCTTTCGGATTATATTCTTTCAGTGTATACTAATTGTTATGCGCTATTCTGCGTAATCCTTCAGAAAATAAGTATATAATTGACGATGTAGCTAAATGTAGATCTGTATAGCAATAATTAGGTAGGTCTGTCTGTCTATAAGTAGTTAAGTATGCACCTACTTTGGTATTCAAATGAGTATATTTAGGTATCTGCATCAACAATTAATTGTGTCGTGAAAATTCTCTGAGATCCTAACAATTTATGTAATAAACAAAGCCGAATCGTTAAGCAGTTAACTATTGATGCACTAGGTATTACTCAATGCAACCTCGAGCATTATATGCCGCGGGAAACTTGTAATTATATGTGTTGATGAAAAAAATCTCCATCCGATTGTTACACCACAGTACTTCGCCAAGTGTTCGTGAAAAAACACGCACTGTTGTTAGATTCATACAAAACACATCTTTTGTTTAAAATTCCTAAAAAATACAATGTTAATTTGATAATTTTCAAAAATATTTTTATTAGTAACTTTTAGTTTTTACTTTCAAAGTGTCAAAAAAAGGCGGCAAAAGATGACGTTTGAAAAAACTGCGTTCGTGTATTTCGTAATTTTCGTTTTATCGCTTTCTCATATTTCGGCTTGGACAATCGATTTGCCTGAAGTTAGAAAAATTTTGTTTGAAAGAAACGAGAAACATAAAGATTATAAGAAAAATGACTATGATGATTTTCTAAGAGAAGATCAAAAGTTTTATAGTAATATCGAAGGTAATAGCAAGCACCATGCTGAGGATTATGAACACGTTCATCATTCTTACGATAAAGAGAATTACGCTGAAGAATACGGATATCATACTTATATGGAGAAGAAAGTAAGTATTAATTGAGTTTTACTAGAAATCATTTACATCTGATAAAAAGGTTGCCCTACAGCAGAATTTTCTTATGTGTATTGTTAATTGCGGGTGCCTTTCAGAGGGGGGTTAAACCTAAAAAGGGCCTTAGGCAAGCATCTCAGTTCGATTTAAAAAAAAACAATTCTCTAGGACCCGAACAGTAGATGATGCGCGCGGGAGTAGCAAGATTTATTAGGGGTGTTTTTGTTTCTCGTATAAAATCACGGACTAAACTTAGTTTAAATACAATATAACTTTGCAAAATGATTAACGAGTTTATTGTTTAAATAGTTAAGTGCCCATTTGTTTCTAATTATTGCGATAAAATCAACTAATAACATCAATCTTAGAGTTCCTGTGTGCATACCGGATTGTAGGTAATATGGAAACGAAAGGAACTTCGATTTATTAAACAAAGTAACTTTTATCCGCGGCTTTACAAGCGTGAATTAGACTCAGCCGTTTACCATAAGGGTACCCGAGGCCCGGGCTCAGGGGCCCCTATCCTCAGGGGCCCCGAGGGCCCGACAATTTCTACGACAGACACACACCTGTTTTATTTCCGCACAGAGCAAATCTTTGAGTGATTTACGAATTGTTCTTTCGGGTCTGGGTGTCATGTACACTGAACTCGTATGTTTATAAATGCACCGACGATACAGCAGAAAAACCTAATGTGGCGCTACGTAAATATAGGAATTGATTGTGAGCCCGAGGGCCGCAGCATAGTCTAAGTCGGCTCCGACTAAATTGTGTCCTTCACCGCACATACAGCTGATGTATAAGAAAACGTACGCACTTCAAGAAGAATAGATGAGTAGATAAAGTGCTAATAGGCAACAAAACGAACAAAATAGACTTTCAATGTCATGGACCCCAGCAGGATAAGTAAAGTGTGGGAGAACCATGTTTCGGGACGAATGGGCCAGCTCGACCAGAGTGATACAACGGCCACACAGAAAACCGGAGGCCCAATTACCCTCCCCTTCCCCAATCTCCCCAATTCCTGAATCCCCAACGATCCTCAAACTCCTAATCCCCAAAAGGCCGGTAACGCACTTGTAACGCCTCTGGTGTTCCAGGTGTCCATGGGCGACGCCGATTGCTTACCATCAGGTGATCCGTCTGCTCGTTTACCGGCTTATGCCATGAAAAAGGATAACTTTTAGGGAGGTGCATCTGCACCTACGCATAAAGAATTACATACATACATAACTTACGCCTGTCTCCCATATTATATATTTTTTTATAAATAAATGATATTAAACCGTAAGCCGTAAAAATTATTAAGGCAAGCAAAATGCTTCTCTTTTTCAAGACATGGTACTTGACCCCTTTTTTAGCTTTCCATAAATGGCCATCCATGGTAATACATTCTCTAAGATTCAGTAATTTAAGAACTTCGAAAAAAAAAATACCCATCATATTATTTATTTATCTACACAACACAAACAATACACAGGAAAATATAACAAAACAAAAGTACTTCTACATAGGTACTCCATATCCCATAAGAAATTTCTTCCTGAAGCTCTGCGAGAGGAGAAATAAATACATCAGCCGACACAGTGCAAAAAAAAACTAAAAAAGAAGACAAGAAAAAGAAAATCCTAATTTATGAACTTATGAACCAGCCCTTTTTATTGGGTGAATCATTCAATGATTGCTCCCGCGTTGGCAAAAGGGATTGTCAGATGTTACTGACTAAATACCAGTCCGTTCCTGCTTCGAGCCGGAGCCATGGTAATTCGCTAGGTCGTCTACAGTTCCGATCTAGGCCAGCCTTAAGTTTTCCATTTATCACAATCAAAATCTAACCTAACCTAAGATGACAGCTTTGGTGTGATGGTTCAGCGGATTGGATTTTTGGGACAGGTTCGGAGATTTTTCAATTGAACTCACTTCACACAAGTGTGCTTACCTACTCTTGAAACAAATCTCAATGTCAATGCAATTTTAATCCAATAAAATCTCAATAATTTTTCAATGTCAAACCTATACAACCACAATCGTAGCTGTTAAAATAGGGAATTTATAGCCAAACTCAATAACATTTAGTTCATTCAATATCCACGCAATACGAATGCAATGGGCTCAAGAGTACGAAATTTCACAATACCAATGTCGATCGATCGGAATTGGATTCAAGAGTAAGCACCAAAGTCACCCGAGGGGTATCAACCAGAAAATACGACATTTACAACGAAAATTTGGTTATTGGCCCGGACGTCGAGGTTTGGAATATTTTTGAAAAATTGAAATAAAAATTTGGAACAATGGAGGAGTGCGCAGAGCTTAGAAAATAAAATGCTGATTAAGCTAATAAAATGATCTTTTTCACGTTTACCTACGTGTTTTCCAAAAATAACTAGAAAACTAGAGCTAAAAAATAACCAAATTTTCGAATCTGTCTAGGTATCCGCACCCCTGTAAAGCCATATTATCTAGACATAGTGGGGGTGACCTTGGGAGAGTTGGGTGAAGTGGGTGTATTGCAAGCGTGCATAGGTCACGGTAACCAATTACCATCAGATGGGCCGTGTGCTTTTCTTGTCACCGTCGTGGTGAACTGGAAAAACTGGGTCCTCTTATAAAGTCTCCAAACTTAAAACAACAAAATAATGTGCTTGTTGTTATACAGTATTAATGGCGGTTTCTGGAGAGATTAGGTCTAGAATAAGGCTCAAAATACAAAAAATGTGAGTTTCTTTGTTTGGATGTAATTTGGTATAGGTACACGCAGGGTATGGGCTGACTTATGTGATAGGATTTTTATCCCGATTAAATGCTCCCATGAGATAAAACAGGAATCATATTCTACGCGGAAGAAGTGGCGGGCGATAGGTAGTATGATATAAATATAGTCGAGCAAAGGATAGTCACGGGTTGTTGATAACAACTCTCTAAAAACAATGAGTTTTTTCAAGGTTCACGCTGTAGTTCGAGACGGCAGCTATTATTTGGAAGGTCTTCGAAGGTCTTTGGAGGACTACAACGAATTGCTGGAGAGTTGTAACCGACGGAATGGTAGCGTGGTAAGTTATCATTTATACTTATAGTTCTATTAGGTTTAAGAAAAGATTCTCAGAGAAATTTTGAGTAATATTTAAAATAGATTTTTTATGTTGATCTTTTAAAATATAAAATCCTTATTCAGCCTTCCTCATTTGAGTTGAAGAGGAAAATTTTACTTTTCATCCCTAGTAAACTCCTCAAAAGTAACAAAATTAAACTTTTTATAGCAGAGCTCATCATCAACGAACTCAACATGGAGTCCAGCGTACGATCCTCCGAATAACAGCTCTCCACCATCAGGATCTGAACCTCCCGTACTCAATTTCCGAAACTATGACAATTCTCCCGTCCCTTTGAAGCCTAACTCCTCAGATTCCAGTAGCCTCGGCATCAGACCAGGTCGGAGGAACATGTCTTGCGATGAGGCTACGGAATCCAGTGAGCAAATTAGGCGGTTTGCTGATCTAGCGCTTTGGGCTACTGGGAGACTCCAGGATTTGGCTTATGCGAAGAAGTATCAGAAAGTAAGAGGTTTATGTAACCATTTAAATGCTTAATGTAACAGAAGATGAGTCAATTGTAGTGCCCTACTCCGGGCACGATTTCAGACCTTGATTTTCAGTATAATATGTTATTATCTAATGAATAAATCTAATGAGATAAACTGACTATACTAATATACCATATTTGAAAATCGGCTAATCGCCTAGACAGAATTAATTACCAAAAATAAGTAGGTATATACATACTTACATTACCTACCTCATGTCCTTTAGGACAAACTGGATGGATTGATACTGGATTTTTTAGCTGTCGCCTGTCATGTTCCACAATTTACAAAGCCAAAGCCTTTATTTTAATTATACCATAATTTGGTACTTTTGAAACGTCAACAAATACAAAATGTAATAGTCTATCAGTCAATCCATCAGTGAAGCTAGGTGAAGCTAGGTGCTCATTCTAAAATGTAGATTCGAATGAAGAAGAACGAGCAAGAAACTCCATTCGTTACTCTTTTTAACAAAATATGTTCTACAAGGTTTCTATTACATAATAATATACAAAAATAGTTATTCTAAGTCCCTTTTTCAGACAGATGAACAAGAAGAGAACGAGCTGATACTGAAGCTGGCCTGGTTCCTGGACCGGCTGGCCTATCTCAGCGGGTACGAGCCTGACTTCAAGAAGCATTACTACGAGTCTAGGACTACTAAAAGTAGGATATCTTTTAACTATTAACAGTCTATTGAGAGCTTACAATAATATACCAAATTACTTAACCATATGTGACAGCTGCAGGCATGAGGTATTAGCACCTCCCCTCTTCCCGTGGGTTTCGTAACAGCCGATTAAAAGACAATACATTTACAGACCTATAATAATATTTTTTATTAATTCAATCTCAATCTCAATGCAATTTCAATCCAATATAATCTCAATAATTATTCAATGTCAAAACTATACAACCCCAATCGTAGCTGTTAAAATAGCATTCAGAGTACGGAATATAAAGCCAAACTCAATATTATTTAGTTCATTTAATATCTAAGCAATATGGACGCAATGGGCGCCAGTGTTGCAACTCAAGAGTACGAAATTTGACAATCTCAATGTCGATCGATCGGAATTGGATTCAAGAGTAAGCCTCCAGATAATGGAAATTATGGAGAACTATAACAGGCTGTACTAATATAACAACAACAATATTGCTACAATTATAACTTAAATGACCGTATCCATTTTACTCGCAGGTACTCCGACCCTACCACCGATACCTCCGACCCTGGTGCCATCATCAGACGACCTCAACAAGGAGATGATGGACTGCCTCCGGCGCAAGTCTTCAGAACCAGCAACTGTACGCTGCCGGTATCCCATGGAGATACCTGATATGATGCAGCAGATTATCAATCAAGGTACGTGAAGGCTTTGAACATTTTTGATAAAATAATTTTTGATTTGAAGTTGTGGAGCAAGAGGTGCTGTGTTTCCTAAGTTCAGCAGCCGTATTCAGGTTGTCAATTCACGATGCCTATTTTATTTTGGATAGTACCTATCAAAAAAGCAGACGGGTCTCCTGTTGGTAAGCTATAGTCCCACTCATGGATACCCGGGACATCAGATAAAACAGGTGGTAGGCAATCAGCATCATCGACCGAAAATTCAGTAAGTCCAAAGAAGTGACTAGTCTAAATATATCATCGATTTGATCAATCTTATCTTTCCAGGTACAACTCCAGCGCCCCCAAGCTCCGATGCAGTCGTCCCAATGAGTGGAACACCAGACAACGTGGCAGGACCTTCAGAGATCCTCATCGCAGCGGACTCTTCAGTCCCGCTTCCTCAACGATCAATTTCTAAGAGATCAACTGAATATACCTATTATTTTCCGACTAAACCTCTACATGAAGTTACTTACCCGGTTCCAATCGTCAAATTGATCAAACATCGGTTGTCAAATATTAAATCGGTTGTCAAAAACATAGTAGAAAGAAGATTGGCCCATTTAGCTGAAAAGAAAGAAGAAAAACAACATTTTGAGAAGCACTTCGACAAAAGATCAATTGATGATAAAGTTGAAATGTCCAATTCGATCAATCCTTTGTCAGTTCTACCTAAACCTGTTGTGAAATCTGTTGAAAAGAGGCCCCTAGATGCGTCTTTGCTTCTACATTATCCTGTGTCTGATGTTTCTGTGATAAACACAAAGTCTTTCAAAAAACGGTCAATTGATGATCACAGTATGACGTCAAATCATATAAATCAAAAGTCAAATTGGAAATCGTTTGACAAGTACGTCAAAAAGGGACCGTTATTCAGGAAAAAGTTTGAGAATCTTTTGCCGTCTATCAAAATGACGAAAAAATTGACAAAATACCAAAGTTCTAAAATAAAATCGATTAACAAACGATTTACAGAAGATCCATTCTCGAAATTAGCGAATTACTACATCAAATACAAAGTTTGGGACAATTCAAATCTTAAAATCTCGAAAAACTACGACGAAAAAAAGCCCGCCAATTTTGACGTCAAAAACCACTTGACAGTTCCGAAGACCGTTCAAAAACGTTCGCTATTCAATAAAAAGGTAGTTCACATGCACATACCGAAGCCTTTACAAATCGTACACACATATGTTCACTCTTTAGGAAAAGTTCACACAAAACCTACACTTTTAACTCATTTACAAAAACTACACGCAATTAGGCATAAAAAGCATGATAAACTGCATAAAATTATTAAAAGATCTTTGAAATATGAGCATATGTATTTGCCGCGAATACCAATGGACCCACAAGGAGATATTAGTTACTATGTTAAGAATAAAGAAGGGACGAACTTCAACCCAGACCCGGTGCAAGCCGCTCAAGTTAGACTAGGTCTGGAGCAAGTTTTTCAAACTGGCAACATTGAAGTTGTTAGAAGATTTGGCGCGAATTACAATCCTCTAAATCCTGCTCCATTTTATTCTGGCGTTATAGCCACTATGACAGATGCTTAGTTTTTTTAGCCTTTTTCACATGTAATAATATTTTTTTTACTTCATAACACCTATTTCATTAAAATAGTGTATATAATAATTAAGTTTATTTACTGTATATGTATGTTTTGTAATAAAGTATATTTTTTTAATAATGTACATACTTAATTTTAATGTAATTTCGTTAAGGCTCATTAGCCATTCAGGCAGCCATATGTTTTATGTTCTATCCTTATCTTACTCTAAGTAAAAGAAAAAGACGGCAATATTTTTAAATTTCTTTTATTAAGTTGACATTAGAATTTATAATGTTTTAAGAACGAAAAAAAAAGTAATCGATAACTTAGATTATGCTAACTTTTAACAAATATTATGATGATATTCGACAGACCGGAAACTCGCGGAAACTCAAAAATTAAAACCAGGGGTATTTTAAAACAACCTAACTTCTGAATAATTTAATATCTTTTTACAAAACACTGCAAAAGTTACAAGTGAACGAAATGAAACAATGAATGAATATTTTAAAATTGAATGGAAGTGTTTTATCGTATTTTCGTTTTTTATCGAGTTTCCGTCTGAAAATATTATAAATACGAATAAAATATTTGCTTAAATATAATAATGCTTATATACTAGAGACTTTCATGTATTAAAAACAGTTTTTAATAGAAAAGTTGTAAGTTCAACATGTAACCTTTTAAAATACCGCATTGACTTAGTTTTAACTTATTATTGTCGAATTTAATTGAAATGTAATTTATTTCAATTTTATTTTATACTTTTGTATAATAATATTACATTCTTAACCCGTAAAAGGTTAAAAATTTAGTTACATTTTAAAAGAACAACTAAAAAGACCATGTTTCAAGTTTTTGGTCCCAATTTGTGACACCGTACCACGATCTTAGATTCGACCCATCATTTTTGCAACCTTAACAACGGTTGCTTAACTTTAATGTTAACAATAACATTTAATTTTAACATTTAACAATTGCGAATATAACAAGTTGCAATATAAATTTTTATATTCATATTTTAATAATACTTTTGAATTGGTCCCCATAGGTTAAAAAATATTTTTGATCAACTACTAAAATATATTTTCGCCAAGATCGTGGGTTGTTAAGAGGAATGTGTAATAATATAAACAAATAAAATGGGTATTTAAAAACGGCAATAACTATCCTATATAAATATGTACTTAATTAAGAAAAATAAGTTTTAAAAAGTAACGACTTTTATTCCGCGGCCATATTTAAACAAACGTCAAAAAAGCCCGCCAAACATAACCTCACAATAAAAGTCACTGTTTATTATAAACTTATTATAATCAAGAAAAACGACAAAAATATGTATTTTCACATGATTCTTCGAAAGGCACGATTTTTAACAACTTATTCATTTAATTATACTTATTGTTTACAAAAAAATATTTAATGTATGTATGTATACTCGATAAAACTTATATACAAACTGACTTGTCAACGCTGTCAAATTGATGAAAAAGAGTTAAGTTTCAAATATTACAATAAAGTAAAAAAAAAGTGTCATAATATACAAATATTATGTTACAATAACAAAAACTATTTTAAAGTAAATTAAACACGCTAATATCCTTAAAAAGAATAAGCAGAGTTGTGTCAAGGAATGTCTTAAAAGACTTGCATTTAAATCAGCATGTTTCATAGCAATTTGACAGTTATTTGACAGTGACATTACATATGACTTTGGGGTCTCTTCTTTCTGCTGAATAGACCCCCGAGGATCCCCTTCTTGTCCTTTTTGTCTTTTGAGACCCCACTCACTGAGAGCTCGGACTCGCCTGATGACCTATGACAAAGAAATAAATATATTAATACTTTGTACGACGTGGCATTATTCCAGACCGAGACATTATTGAGATATTCTTGAGAAATTGTAAATTTTCAACATTTAATAATTTCTCAAACTGTGAATAGAACCCACTTGCCCTTGTTCGTCGCACTTACGATTATTTGGGTTAAAGAGCTACTCTTCACAATTTTTGGTCTCATTTCTAGGTGTGATATTATAATGTCCATCCTTTCTTTTGGTGGAGAATATAAAAATCCTAGTATTTAAGAGAATGCGAAATTTATGAAGAAGACATTGTTTAAAAGAAAAGCAAATATCTACCTTGAAGCTGGTCTCTGGTCTAAAGCTGGCGAGCCTCCGCTACCAGCGACAGACGCTGGCCGAGTGTTGCCTCCGCTACTGCCTCCATAAGCTAAACAAATAAAAAAAAACACTTAAACGTCAAATTCATAAATCTTTTTGACATTTCAACAAACTTTATTTACCGTTTAGACAATCAATTTTGACTTTTATTGCATTGAGTTAAGGATGATGGTAAGTGCAAATATGTGATTGTAAATTCGTATTAATTTAGTGAGCCAAATTTTGTTGTTTATCAAAATTGATCGACTAACCGCCGAGACTCAGAGACATTAAATGATTATTTGAACTATTCATTAGTATCGATTTTGTCCCGAAAACAACTGTTAAGGACTGAGTTGTAACTATTCTGGACTCTGTGTACGGCGGTAAGAGTTTGTCAAAATGTCAAATATGTTTTCCACATCTAAATCAAAAAGCTTTATATTATTCAAACTACAAAAAGACACACGAAAATACGTTTGTTAATTGAAAACACCAACACCAAAATACACAAAGAACAAAAGCACACGAAAACAAAATGGCTGCCTATAATAATAACACAGATAATAATTCTAATTTTAAATCGGTACTACATTTATTTTCTATACAGCAGTTAGGTAAAATACAAAGCAAAAATATTTGGCACAGAAAACTATAAAAAGTATAAAAACTAATTTCTACCTTTAACAAATCATGTTTTTTTTTAAAAGTGACTTATAAAAGCTGAGCTACTTATTTCATTGAAACATATAAAATAATAGGCAAATTTATACACGGCATAAGAACATATAATAAAGACAATATAATAACAATAAAGATTCGAAAGGTTATATTGTTTTTATAATAACTATCGTGAGACATACTAAATTAACTAACATCACGGGTTCCTCACGTGAATATACTGAGAAAAGCTCTACTAGTTTCGAACTCAGTGAGATGCGCGACGTCGCCGCGACCGCGCACGCTGCTAATGAGGAAGAACCCCATATTTACGTGAGTAACCCGCGATATTAGTTACGTTGTAATGTTTTTCAGTTTGCGGTAAAAACGATAGCGCCCCTTCATATTAAGCCTTATATCAAAATCATATGCATACAGGTACATAATATATAAAATATAATACACATAACATACATTGTACTCGATGTAATATGTAGAGTAGGTGGCTTGCTCCTGATTGCGTGGAATTATAAGGTATTTAGTTAGAAATATAAATATTTTTGGTAAGTAGGTATAAATTGGATTAAGCGTTACTTATGGGCCAAAGGACTAGTGTTCAGATAAAAAAATAGCTATGATGATATCTGTGGTAGCACTGTACCTATAGAAAAAAATCGAATTTGAAATTTACAAACGAATGAAAATTAGATTAATATTTTTTTTTGTGAAGTTACGACATTATTTAAGTTTAGATTGGTATTTAGTCCTTTGACACATAAAGAGAGTGGAGGAAACAATATGAAAATAGTATACTGCTATTTTATGAAATACACATACGATTGAATTTCAACAATTAAGTAAGATATTAGCGATTTTTCACAGATTGCCTCCTCGATCATTAAATATTAGCACCATTTACACATTTAAAAGCTATAAAACTTATTCTACAACTACTTAAAACTAATCTTACAGCCAATAGTTTACTACAGAACAAATTAATACTTCATAAAAAGATATTGAAGAAGTTTACAGAATTTTGAAAATAAACTTATGGATTGAATAAAGAAACAATAGCAAACAACATAATTATTTATCTTCTAATTATTCAATAGTTAGAAAAATAGGAATTTCGAAAAAAAAGTACTACTAGAGAACAGAAAAATAAAATAATTGACAGAATTTTAAGAAAGTAAAGATAATATACAACTTTGAATAGAATCAGAAATATAATTTATGAAGGTAAGACATAGGTACTTATACTAAAAATACTATAAGAAAATGCGTACAGCGATCCCAAAAAGCAAGGTATTTAACGTGGTCGGGTTAAAAACTACTACTACGCAATATTACTTGTAAAAATAACTAATTATTGTAAAAAACAACATTTTTCTAAAAATTCTACAGAAAAGACAGTGGGTAAAATAAATCCAGCTAGCCACGGCTTGGTCTACTTATATTTGATATATATAACAGCCATGGTTCAGTGTATCAAAATAATCAGATTCTGTCCCGGGATTCTCTGTATATATTCACATGTTTTTGACCAGAACCAGTACGAGCTGTGGCGGACATGCGTTTCTTTAATGGGACAAGCCCGCCACATTCTCTCAAAACCGCTGCAACTTCTCTAAGCCAAGATCTACAGTAGTTACAACCATGAAAACACCAGAACACTGAAGTCGCGGCGCGTCCCAGGGTCATGAGTAACTGTCTTTGTTCCCACAACGAATCAGAAGATATTATAAGCGAAGAAGAAAAAAAATATATATAGATAGTTTCCACTTTCCTCGGTGAATTACTGCAGGAGACAGAGTGAATTAAGCCTAAAGGCACAAAAAAGAGACTGTACAACTGGGTGAAGCCCAGTCGGCAAGCACCACGGAAATTTGACTAAAAATTAAGTGGGTCCTATGTGTGAGCTGTTATACTTGCTTCCAATAATAGGTATGGCAAAAACGCCTAAACGCACGGAAATTCGTTCTAGATTCCACAAGGTCCGTATAATAAGCTACACCTGACGAAACAATTAAATTATTTAACATAGTGTTACGTTCATATTGCCAGAGATCACACTCCCAGAGTATGTGATGGGCGGACTGCTCGTATTGCAGCTCCGCTGTCGAACATTGGCACCATGGTGAATCAATAATTTTAAATAAGAACAATTTACTTCGGTATGGGCGAACATGCATTTGCCGCCCTTACATGTGTGTGACGAACTCACAGCTCAACCTAACTTAAACATGTTAATATACAGTTCACTGTATACCTGTCTCTGTACCCCAGGACAGAATCTGATGAGGAACTTTACTAATACCTTTTAAATAGAATTAGTCAAAACTGTGGCGGACGTGCGTGCGTCGCCCACACATTACGCTACATTTTTACCTACCATACTCTATATATATAAAGAGTATTCTTATTAAAAGCAACCCGATCCACGTTAATTTATTTCTAAACGCAAAATGGCAGCTTCGTCAAATAGATAGCAGAATTATAAACAGACTTTAGCTTCTGCTGCAAGCTAAAAAAATATACTAAATTATTTAATATAGGTACTCAAAATATTAGTAAGTTCACGGGCTTGTTTAAAAAGGAAGTATTTGTGATTTATTGAATTTTATAAGAGTGGGTCAACGAGCAAATGGATCGCCTGATAACAAGCGCTAGGCAGCACGCTAAATTATAAGACATCACAACACCAGAGATGTTAGGAGTGTGTTCCCAGCATTATAATAAATTATCATCACATAATTGATTTAAATTTAAGTGTGGGAGGGTCATGCTTCGGCACTACTGGGCCGCCGGCTCGACCGGAGTGATACCACGGCACGGTTGTATTTCGTCAAACTTATCCCCCTTTCCCAATCTCCCCAATCCCTGAATTCCCAATCATACTCAAATTCCTAATCTCCAAAAGGCTGGTAGCGCATTTGTAACGCCTTTGGTGTTCCAGGTGTCTATGAGCGGCGACCATAGCTTACCATCAGGTGATCTGTCTACTCGTTTACCGGCTTGTATATATATAAATGGATATAAAAGAATTATTCCTGTCATACTTTCACGTTTGAGTACCAAAACTAAATAATTTAATATTGAAATACATTTTGCAAAAATATGTGTTTGATAAAACAAGTGTTAGTAGTGTCTACAAAGCTTCAAAACCAAGGCTCCTGCGGTACTTAGGCTGAAGTGGTACTTCCGAAAGCTAGGGTCAATTGGTACTTTTTATGTAGTACGTAGTAAAGTAAAAATGGTAAAGTATTAGTTTTTGTCGTAGCGATGTAAGTATAGACGACAGCCACGTCATTTCGTATACAGGCAGCTGTAGCCAAATGCCATTTAGCGCTTGTCTACATGTAGAATAGAAAACCAAATTATATGGAATTGACGTAAATTTTTACACTTGTCAGTGTCATCCACATACATTTTGATTTCTACTCTCTCGGTAGACAAGCGCTAAAGTGGCGTTTGGCTAAAGGCACAGGGCCTATATATAATTTGGTTTTCTATTTTACATGTAGACAAGCGCTAAATGGCACTTGGTTACAGCTGCAGACAAGAATATTAACGCCTGAATACTAAAATGCTATTCAATTGAAAGTAGTACTTAAATATCATGCCATCTCTGTCATTTTACAAAGAGTTTGTAGACAGAACTATAACTTAAGCGAGACTTAAAATTGAGTTGCATTTGAGTATTTCAGCGTAATACTGTTATAATGAAGACATGGCTTCGTTAAAAATGATAAAATTTTGTGTAACAATAGCTATTGATACGTATCGGAAATCTTCATATTCTACCTCTAGTCGGCTTACCAAATAAAGTGGCCGACGACGTAGTTTTCATAAATTTTTTGCCTAACTTTTTATACCCATTGAAAAATTAATATTTCGTTTAGTTCTATTGTTAAAACTACCCATTAAAAACCAGAACAAAACCCAATACAATATATTTAGCCATCTGCCACTAAAAGTACCAACTGGCCCAAAAAATATAAACCAAAAGTACCACTTGGAACATAACACAAAAACTAACCCGTTTCGCTTGTAGCATAAAAATGTGACGTAGTCTCAACATTCTGCCAGTTGTTATTACTGGAATATCCTTGCCAAGAGGCCGTTCTATTGGCATTGGCGTCCTTGGCATCACGTTGCTGCCAGTTGCCAGTCATTCTTTGTTGATAACTGTTGACTAAAGCTGATACGGACTGTTTTTCTTGAGTATTTCGTTCGGGTATGTTCGGTCCGCGTTCGGGTAATGTCGGCGGTCGATCAGGCAATGGGGGGCGGTGGGGAGGCCCCGTTATCGGTAAGGGAGGTGCTCCAATGTCAGCTAAAGAATTATTTGTTAGAATTTGTTGTGGAGATGTGTTAAAATGTTTCGTTGGTAGTGGAGACTCGATTAGTTGAATTTATTCATTTATTTGTTGAAAATTCGACAGTTTATTGTGTATAAATAAACTTGAAACCTTAAATAAATTACTCCATTACTTTAAGTAATACCAAAATTATGGAGCAAAATCAAGAAAAGTAATGAATATTTCGTTAAATTAAAATTTCAATGCAGTAAGCAAACTGAATAATCGCGAATTGCAATAACTAGGATCTGACTAATAGAGTCTCCACTATAGTTTAAAAGTGCAGAAGTTATACACCGTAAAATCTATTTTGTATTTCGTCCCGAAGTAAAATGGTTCTGTCTCGGTAATACAATAGTTTTACAAACAAATAAAAACAACTGGTGAACCATTGTTAGAAGCTAACTTCGAAAGCGCATACGAACTCATAGTACATTATCAAAACATCACGCCATGTAATTCTCGAAGAGGTATTTCTCGTCGAGTGACACGTGCGATGCGCATAGTGCCTACAAATTGACATCTCTTTTTTTTAAGGGATGAAAATTATCGAATTACGTCTCCCGCCTCGATGAGGCGGGAGGGAGTGTCAGACTCTTACTGACTAAAAACCACACCGTTCCTTCTCCTGCACTTTGAGCCGGAGTCCCGGTAACCCGTTAGGTTCCCCGCGACTCCGAATCGGCATCGGCCTTGTTGGGCCCTCCCCATCCGTGGTGGTCTGATGGTTCTTTGAGATGCGCGCACAAATTGACGTCTAGTGTTTCATGTGCGTATTTCCAAGATTTTTTTTTTTAAACTAAAAAAAATAACATGTCTATTTTTTTGACGTGACAACGTCTTAAATTAGGTTGCGGCTGGGAGTCACTTATGAAAAAGTGTAACGCTCGGTAACGTTACGATGAGTCACCGAACGAGAGAGAGGCCCGCCGAATGCCTTGCGTCTCTCTCCCACTCAACTATGATCGGTCTGCCGCGCGCGCAGCACTAGTTCATTCAATTCCTTGTTCCTATTGTGCAATTTAATTATATTCATATCAATAAATATTCTACCGAGAAAAAGACGTTGTCACGTAAAATCTTCGCCCGTAAAAACGACTTTACAGGCAACCATTTTTTTTGTTTTTACTTTATACATCAAAAGTACTTCTTATGGTATGTTGTTTTGCCGCGAGACGAATACGAAATAAATTTCACGGTGTAATATTGTGTGATTAAACGTATTTTGTGAATGAATTAAATCAAATAACTATAAACCAAATAGAATATGGACAAAAACACAATGCAGACGATACAAGTACAAGACATTTAACAAAAAAACAACACATTTATACCCAAAAGGGATAGGCAGAGGTGTACATAAATAATTTTAATAACACACCATTTGTGCTAGTCGCGGTAAATATATATATTTAAGTGCTCCGTGATTCATTGATAATTTTAAACGCTTAAAAACCTCAATGATACTCTTTTTAAACCGAGAATCGAACTCGAAATCTCCTTTTCAGTAGTCAGTTCGACTCTAAACAAAATTTTGGTATATAAAAGTTAACATTCTAAAGTTTGAAATTAATTCAAATAAATTATTTCGACTGTTCTATACAATAATATGTTAAAAATGATCACACTTTCATTTATTGATTTTATGACCATCTTCATTTTAGTTTTTTCCAGCAATTTTTAAAAAAAATAAGTATGCTGTTTGACGCTAAAAAACGTGACGTCACAATACACAATCTCGTACAAAATTCATAGAAAACTGTCGTTTTTGACAGTTCGAAAAAAGTATTGAATTTGACTAGTTGGCAAGTACACAATTCTGGCCCAATCTAAATAATGTCGGCCTCTTAATTGCTAGGTAACTCTTAGTTGGGACATGGTTTAGTATCTGTAAAATTACTAAAGACTTTGACTGCCAATAAAAAACTGTTGAAGGTAAATCCTCCGCTAACGCCGGTCACCGATGACCCCCATGGCGTTTAACGTGTTAATATAAGTTAGTAAATAATCTTACCATTTTGCTGTGATCGTATGAACTCAGTGTTGATATCGCGGCCGTTTGAGAACCGTGACCGACCCCACGAGCTCGCCTGCGTAGCTTGTTCTTGATTCCTGTTAAATTGGATATAATATTATTAATATGTTAATAATTATTTTACAACTACGGTTATAATAAATACCGACTTCAACCGCCTCTTTTTTTCTAGTCTGTTAATTAATATACCTCTAGGATAAGGAAGAACCCCTCTGTGGTTCGAAACTAGTAAAGCTTTTCTCAGTATATTCACGTGAGTAACCCGCGCTTTTAGGTTACTTTAGTATGTCTCACGATAGTTATAAAAACACTAGCTACTTCCACGCGGTTTCACACGCTCTGCTCAGCTCCTATTGGTCGCAGCGTGATGTTTTATAGCCTATAACCATCCTCGATAAATGCGCTATCCAACACAAAAAGAATTATTGAAATCAGACTTGTAGTTACGAAGATTAGCGCGTTCAAACAAACAAACAAAAAAGCAAATTCTTCAGCTATACAATATTAAGTATAGATAAGATTTATAAGTGGAGAGGGAGTTGAAGTCGGTCTGTAAGATTAGCAAAACGTAAGGTTTTCCATGTGGTACTAAAGAGATTTTTCTTAAGTCCTCCTCCGTTTTTTTATGGTATAGGAGGCAAACGAGCAGACGGATCACCTGATGGTAAGCGATCAGTGTCGCCCATGGACACCTGGAACACCAGAGTCACAGGTGCGTTGCCGACCTTTTAAAAAGGAATACGCTCTTTTCTTGAAGGTTTGAAGGTCGTATCAGTTCGGAAATACCGCCGACGACAGATCATTCCAAAGATCCCATGGGGACCTCCTATCATAAGAAGAACCCCTTTATAGGAATATTGGTAACCTTTCTATTGCTGGATGTATTTTTTTTTTTAATAGTTCCAATAGACACTAAAATAAACAAAATAGACATAACATAACATCACGCCTTTTTATCCACGAAGGGGTACGCAAAGGTGCACATTTCGGCACTTAATGCCACTGTACAATGTAACACCCACTTTTCACTATTTATGTCAAGAGTCCCATGTAATAGGGGGTGAGCCTATTGCTATATACCGAGCACATTTCTAGTCTCCGTGCTACTACTGAGATTTTTAAAAACCCAGTAATACTTTGCCCGACTCGGGAATCGAACACAAAATAGACAATTAAATATATTTTTCATTAATATTAGTAAGATATTTACCTGAATACAACTTCAGTGGCGTCCTCCTCGGGCGGTGGCTGGCGGGGTGGCAATGACGGTAGCACCTCGGATTCTGAGACAATAAAAATAAATTAATAAAGCAATCCCCACATGGAACAACCTCTTGTGTGACCTACAAATTGTTGTTCCGGGTCTGGACCCATGACACAGTAGTGATCAAAATCCTGGTGTGTGACCAGTTATATTTTAGTTAAATGTCTAGTCCTAGACAAAATATCTTCTGATGTCATAATCGCAAATAGGGTAGACGACTAATTTTTATTTTAATGTCCGTCTGGTAGATTATTTAAAAACATTAGACACGTATTTTTTATTTTCTTACGGAAACGAATAGTTTCGAAGATATATTGATTTGAAATGTCGCGTGACGTCACTTCTCAGTACATTTTATACTAAGAAATGACGTTTTAGCCCCCACTCCTAAACTTTGATTCGTTTTATCTAAGTATTGTTTTATTATAAAACAAAATAAAAAAATACGTGTCTAATATTTTTTTATTACCTAAGTTACGGACTAATTATATTTTTAATTTTCATACCCTGTCATCATCCCCATTG